CTCCCCCCGCAGCGGGCCCCCCCCCCCAAAATGTCCTGCCCTGCAGCTGGCCAGCAGCCCCCCACCAACTGCCTTGCCCCCACAGCTGGCTGGCATCCCACCAAACCTCCCCCTTGCTTAGGTTAGTGGGTGTGATTTAGCTTCTTACAGGATCAATGCACCTTGATGCACGAGGACCCTGAGAAAAACACTGACCCCCAGGCACTGCCCCCTGCGGCTGGCGTGCAGGCCAGGCCAGCTCCACATACACTAAGCAGCCCCCCACCAACTGCCTTGCCCCCACAGCTGGCTGGCATCCCACCAAACCTCCCCCTTGCTTAGGTTAGTGGGTGTGATTTAGCTTCTTACAGGATCAATGCACCTTGATGCACGAGGACCCTGAGAAAAACACTGACCCCCAGGCACTGCCCCCTGCGGCTGGCGTGCAGGCCAGGCCAGCTCCACATACACTAAGAGCCCGAGGAAGATCATGCACGAAGCGTGTGAAGGATGAGGTGTGTGGGGAGGGGAGAGGGCGCCGAGCGTTAGCAGCCCAGCCCGGAGAGGGCACATCATGTCCAGGGCCGTGCTCAGGGCGTTGCAGGGCAGCGTGCGATGTGCAATGGGCACAGGTCAGAGGATGCAGCCGTGTGAGCGCACGTGGAGGAGGGGGGGTGGCGTGATGCAAGGCACCCGCCGGAGGGGCAGGAGTGCTCTCTAGCAGGGCCCCCTCCCTCCTGCGCGTTCACCCATCTCGTGAAGGAGCCCGCCCCAGCAGTGACCGTAACAATGGGGCGCAACGTGCAGCCCCCCCACCCTGGGGGAGGAAATGCCGGGGAAGGTCCAAACGCCCTGGTGCCCTTCTGGGTCACTCGGCTGAAAGTGCTGCTCGTTAACTGGAGTTTTAATGAGTGCAGCCCACTCTCTGATTAACCAAAGCGAGTGATTTTAATGGGCCGGCCTGGAAATTCAACCGCAGGTGACATGGTCTTCCGAGGGGTCCTCCCTGAGAATTCGTGGCCCCCAGCCAGGCCCGGTGTTAAATCACTGGACTGGCAGCAGATTCAGCCACCCTCGACACCGAGGGAGGTGGCTTTAGTTGAGGAAAACGCAAAGCTGGGGGGGGGGGCTGTTGCCATGGTGCCTGGGAGTTCCCCCTGTTCTGCACTGGGACCACGTCTCCAGGTGGGACCAGAGCCTGGGGGCAGGCTGCGGGGCTGGCCACTTCACATGTCTCTCTCCCCCTTCCCGGACAGGAGCCCAAGGCCTTGACCAAGCGGCATAAAACAGCCTCTGCCCCCCCCCGGCCTCCTCCACCGCACGGCTCTGATCTCACTGCAGGGCACATGCCAGCCCTGCGGTGCGAGCGAGGGAGCATTTGCCACAGCATTGCCAGGTCGCAGACCCGCATTGATGTAGGCCTCTTATCCTGGCTTGGCCTGACCCTTTTAAATTAGTAAAGCCAACAGGATCACGCCCACAGCTGCTAAGACAGCACTGGGGGGAGGGGGGAGAAGGGAGAGGGAAAGCAATCATAGGCTTAGGCCTGTGTGATTTAGTGCGCTGCAGTGTCCTGGGCATCAGGGTCCTCGTGCACAGCTCACCACTCTACACTGCAGTGTCCTGGGCATCAGGGTCCTCGTGCACAGTTCACCACTCGACACTGTAGTGTCCTGGCCAGGGTCCTCGTGCACAGCTCACCACTGAACACTGGGATAGCACTGTTTGAGAGAACATCTCACTCTTCTTAGCCTAGAGCTGGCCAGAGATTACATCACCCACAAGATAATGCAGCTGCCTCTGGGGTAGAACTTGGCAGTTTTTCAGCATTACAGAACAGTTTTGGACAGAAAGGGAACATACGAAGAGCCAGACTGGGTCAGACCAAAGGCCCAGTATCCTGTCTGCCGACAGTGGCCAATACCAGGTGCCCCAGAAGGAGGGAACACAACAGGTAATCCTCACGTGATCCCTCCCCGGTCTCCCACTTCCAGGCACACAGAGGGTAGGGACACCATTCCTCCCCATCCTGGCTAACAGCCATTGAGGGACCTAATCTCCATGAATCAATCTAGCTCTTTTTTGTAACCCTGTTAAAGTCCTAGTCTTCATAACCTCCTCTGGCAAGGAGTTCCACAGGTTGACTGTGCACTGCATGAAGAAAAACTTCCTTTTGTTTTAAGCCTATTATCTATTACATTTCATTTGGTTCTTATATTATGGGAACAAGTAAATAACTTTTCTTATTCACTTTTTCCACACCAGTCATGATTTTCTAGACCTCTATCATATCCCCCCTAAGTTTCCTCTTTTCTAAGCTGAAAAGTCCCAGTTTTTGTAAATATCTCTTCATATGGGACACGTTCCAAACCCCTCATTTCTGTTGCCCTTCTCTGAACCTTTTCTAGTGCCAATATATCTTTTTTGAGATGAGGCAACCACATCCGTACACAGTATTAAAAATGTGGCATACCATGGATTTATACAGAGGCAAGAAGATATTCTCTCTCTCATTTTATATCCCTTTTTTTAAAGACTCCTAACATTCTGTTTGCTTTTTTGACTGCTGCTTCACAGAGTGGATGTTTTCAGAGAACTGTCCACAATGACTTCAAGATCGCTCTCTTGAGTAGTTCTGTAAAACTGCTGGAAGGAAAGCACAGAAGCAGAATATGGATTAGGAGTATGCCCAAGACATCAAGGCTAACAGTGACCAGAAGTGGGCAAGACCTGGCTCTAACATCCTCTCCACCAGCTCAGCTCCCCAAATGCCATGCTGGGGTATTGGACTGACAACCGTCCAAAGGGAAGAGCATGACTTGCTGAATGACCAGTCGTGCTTTGGGTTTCCCTAGGAGCCTTGCATCCCAATACTGACCAGAGCGTAGGAGATATGACAAAATCACAGGCCATGGCTGGATCTGTTGAAACAATTAGCAAATATTTTGGCAACAAGACATAGACAAGACACTCCAGTGACCTAAGCCCTCAGTATGTTTAGATTTGGGACAGGGCTCACTCATCACTAGGATCAACTCTTCCAAAAAATTGCCATGGGATCTTTAGGGATCATGCCAGATCCTGGGCTTGGGTTTAACATCTCCTCCAAAAAAAAGTCCTAGCATGCTACTGAACAGCAAAGAATGCCACCTTTGGGCTACGTCTACACTGGCATGATTTTGCGCAAGAACTCTTTTGCGGAAGAGTTCTTGTGCAATAACTCTTCCAGAAGAGAGCGTCTACACTGGCATGTGCCTTTGCACAAGGGATGTGCTTTTGCGCAAGAGCATCCATGCCAGTGTAGACGCTCTCTTGTGCAAGTAAGCTCTGATGGCCATTTTAACCACAGGGCTTTCTTGCGCAAAAAATTCATGTTGCCTGTCTGCACTGGCCTCTTGCGCAAGAATAGTTGCGCAAGAGGGCTTATTTCTGAGTGGGAGCATCATAGTTCTTGCGCAAGAAGCCCTGATTTCATACATTAGAACATCAGCGTTCTTGCACAAGAACACAGTGTAGACAGGCAGCAAGTTTTGGCGCAAAAGCGGCTGCTTTTGCGCAAGATCGCACCAACGTAGACACAGCCTTGGAGTTCCCAACACCACTGCCAGCAGCAGCAGTAGGCTGGCGCAAGGTTTGAGAAGCAGAAAGGGACTATGAATGAAAAAGGGAGACCAACTTGTCTAATTTCGAGCTGAGGGAAGGGCAAAAAAGGGTAAACAGCATCAATAATGCAGAATAAGTGAGATTAAAAAAAAACGTTCACTTCATAATCTAAGGCCCCGACCATGCAGAGATTTATGCCCACAGATAGCTTTACTCAGTTTAATTGAACTCCATGGGATTATGCACCTGAGTCAAGTTACTCAGCTTTGTAGGTGGCTGCAGGAGCAGGCCCTAAGCTATTAGCAACACAGGAAAGCAAAAATAAAGCTACAGGTTGGACCTCCGTGGTCCAGTCCTGAACAAGGGACGTTGCTGGATCAGGGGTGGTCAACGCTGGCCTGGCTTCAGATGGATCAGCCAGGCTCCCAGTCCTGGCAGGGTTTCCAGCTCCACTGGATGCCTGGCTCTCTGGTCCTGGAACATCTGTGGTCCTGCTGGACCAGAGGGTCCCAGTTTAGAGGATCAATCTGTACTATATTTTGGCCACCCAAGAGTCTTCCTTTTAAAAACATCTTCCCTTCCTGGTCCAAACCTATGCACAGACCTACAAAATAAGAGACTCTGGGTACAGACACATTTGTAACAATTTATTGAATGAGGCAATAATAGACAGAATGGGAAAACAACAGGTATTCCATGCTCTGCTACTTGACAGGTTTTTTTTTTCCTTTTTCTGGGGAGAATTTCTTAGACTGTAAGAACGTTATTTCATTGCCAAAGAAACACGGACTTTAAAGCCACTGGACATTTTCACAACGACAATAAAAAATAATAATAGTTTAAAAAAATAACAAAATCGGAAAAGCAGGGCTGTTTCTCTGGAAATGGTTCCCTCCCCTCCTTGAAGTACAGAAAAACATATACAAAGAACATTTGATATTTTCATATAAAACAAGTAAATACAAGAATCTGAAAACTTTCTCAAAGGTGGAGCGGGACGTGGAGAATTGTGTTAAATGGCCACTTTAAAAAAAAATTAAATACCATGCACAATTGCACACACCGAGGGAGGGTGTGGCTAAAAGAAGGGAGGAGCTTGTCTGAGGGAGGGGCAGTGTGTGTTGGTTTTGGGAAGCAAAGGTTTGGCCCATTGGAAAGTCAAGTAAAATCAGCCACTGAAAACCCACCAGACATTATGCTGGCCTGGAGGTTTTCGCATGAAGTAGATTAAAAAAAACGAGCAGCAGCAAAGCTGTGCTGGCAATGCACATACAGCAGAAACAGGCGCAGGACCCATGGAACGCAAACCACGGCAGTGGGTTATGGGAAGGGCCAACTTGACCCCCAGATTTACTGAACAAGGGAGCATTGTGGGGTTTAGTTAATCTGGGTGGGTAGAGGCTGGGACAGAGGGTCATCTCTTTCGTACAGTCCTATCCCGGCTCTGAGCACACCAGTGACAGACACATCTCGCATGAACTCAACGTACCTCTCGGCAACCGGGCGGAACAGGGTTCAGATACAAAAGGAGTCCTTGGGGGATACACAGCAGAAGGAAGAATTTTCCCGAGTCAGTAACTCCCCTTCCCCGGCCGTAGGTCCCCACCAGATAGTCCATTGCCGTCTCCATTTACAAACATGAAATAGTAAAGAGAAGGCTTCTAAATGCCAGCTACATTTCAACAGCAGAGAAGAGGCGGGCAGGTCTTGAAGGTGGATCACAGGAGAGCCAGGCGGAAACTCTCCAGGGTGTTTGGGAACTTCCATACCAGAGTTTTCCTCTTACAGGTGTCATGGGTAATCAATGGCTGCCCTCCGAAGGGCTTTATCCTGTCGAAAGGCTGTTGCTGCCCCTACGCAGTTGGGCAAGCGCCTTTTTCCTAACTCTCCCCCACCCCTTTTTTTCCCCCCACGTGAAAATGTGTGACAGCCTAATTCTCCCAGTGATAGGACAGAGGAGCCTGACTCCAGGAGCCACTGCAGAAATCGCTGCTGGCTTAGCGGGGCCAACAGCACTGTTGGGACTGTCCCCAGCCAAGGCCACGGCTACTTCCTACAGGAGGTGGGAGATTTCCCATCTTGCCCAGATTCTAATCGAGAGATTTCATGCGGAGGAGGGGACGGGGTGTGTGTGTGTGTGTTGTGTTTTTATTTAAATATCCTCAGAATGAAAGTCCATCACAAATTGGCTTTCCACTCCCACAAGATCAGAGCGGCACTATAAAAATGCACTTAACACACATCCTCTGCTTTTTTTTTTTTTCCTTTTAAAAAAAGGTTAACGAAACCTTTGCTTCCAAAGCTGGGAGACTCAATGCCACCTGATTGCATCTCTGAAGAGGCGTAAAAAAATTATTCACGTAAGAGACGAGGAAAAAAACATCATCATGATCCTGCCGTGGCAACGTCACTGTTCCAAGGTCACAACCTCCACGGCCTGACCATCCATGGTGACGGCACTGTCTGCTATCCGTGTAGTCACGGGCGCCATGGCGACCTGGACGGGACCATTACCCTGGGCGAGGCTGGTTACCACTGTCTGGTACATGCTGACGGGGATCTGGACGAGCCCTGTGGAGACAGAAGGAGGAGATGGGGGTTGCAAACACTGCAGGCATTTCAACTGGGCAAATCAAAGGACTCTGGCACGTTTTGATACCTCCTTTATCCGCTGCGTGGTGCTAACATTTACATAGCCCCCAATCAGAATCGTGGCGTTTAAGGCCAGTGCAATCAGATCATTTAGAGTGACCTCCTGGCTACCACCCAGCACCCACCCTCCACCCAAAATTAGATCAAAATATTGCAACCCACAGGAGACTAAAACTGCTGTGTGCCGCAGGCAGGGCATAGGAAGGACTGAGATGCGCCAGTTGTCCATGGGCTCCGCAATGGCAGATATACCCAAATGACCCTGGCAAGGCACTGGCGCTCCACGCCACGAGGTAAAACCCACCCATGGTCACTGCCAGTCTGACCTGGCAGGAAATTCCTTCCTGACCCACATGTGGAAATCAGTGATCCACGTGCCACACAAGCAAGAGCCAGCTGGCTAAGAACGTGTCCCATCTCCAGCTGTGCACACTCCTGGGCGTCAGAGGAAAGAGACAAAAAGACAAAACTAATTCCACCCAACCACAGAATACATTGGGGGGAGGGGGAATCCCTACATCACCCCCACATGTGACCAGATGAGCTTTAGGAACATCAACAACATAAAGGAACCCCTCAGGCTGCCCCCCACCGTCACAAGCAACCCTGCCCTCGGTCATATCCAATCCCGTTCAGAAACGTGTCCAGCTCTCTTAAAACCTATTGTTTGCCTCATAATTCCTGTTGGGAAGATGTTCCCAGGCCTCACTGCTCTGATGATGGGAGTTGTCCTAATTTCTGGCCTGAGTTTATACCTATCGGTTTTGGTGCCAACACTGTCCTTTAGCTTAGCTAGCGCTTCATCCTCCCTGGCGTTGAGCCCCGAACCCATAGGTAGTGCGTATTCAGACCTCCTCTCGGCCTTCGCTTTGCTAAGCTAAGTAAGCCAAGCTCTTCCAGGTTTTTCTCTTAAGCTGGGCCTTTCCTCCCCCAGCCATGCTAAGGAGTTCTTCTCTGCGCTGGCTCCACTTTTTGAATTTAGCGTTCTTGAATGATCCAGAGGAGGGACTCTAATGGGTGCATAGTGCTGTTCGCTGGCAGAAGCTGGCGCCATGAAATAACAGGTCTAAGGAGCCCACAGTGCTACCATGCAAGAAAGGGAGGTGACTGGAGTTGGAAATGCCTTAAAGAACAGGCTGGTTTTGAGGCCCACGGGAAGTCTGTGTACGCTGACTGAGAGGCTGGTCCGCACGTGTGTATACAAAGGCAAGAGAGAACGCCGGGGAGATAGGAACTGGACAGGAGCAGCGACTGGCCAGAGCAGGAGGGGAAAGGATGGATCGGAGAAGGGAAGGTGGGACTTTAGTCAGGGAGCCTGGAAGGGGAAGAGGGGAAGATAGCACAGGATTCAGGAAAGAAGGGAGAGACCTGTTTGGAACAGCGGGAAAGTATAGGCGGCATGTTAACTGCCTGCATTCCCTCAGCTGAGGCCATGAGATGGGCTGATCGGTTTCTCCTAAGTTTCTCGCTTAAGCACAAGGACACGTGTCAATTCTCCAGCCCCACCCAGGCACAAGAACAAAGCTCTTTTCGTTCACATTTTACGGAACACGTTCATGACAAAAATCTGTTGTCTCTGTTGTGTCCTGAGGTGCCTTATGGGTGAGACTGGACACAGCTCCTAGCGCTGAATTTAGAATTGACATGAGGTGAGGGTGAGAAAGGAGAAGGACAATCTGGATTAAAACGGTCCACCTGTGGACATATCTTGGTGCCTGTGCAGCATGAATTCAGCTTTCTTGTCCATAGGCTTTATGATACAGTCTTTAATTACAGAACCCTAGGGTTGGAGAGACCTCAGGAGTCATCGAGTCCAACCCCCTGCCCAAAGCAGGAACAACCCCAACTCAATCAGCCCAGCCAAGGCTTTGTCAAACTGGGACTTAAAACACCTCTAGGGATGGAGATTCCACCCCCTCCCTAGGGAACCCATCCCAGGGCTTCCCCACCCTCCTAGGAAAAGTTTTTCCTAATATCCATCTAGATCTCCCCCACTGCACCTTGAGACCATTGCTTCTTGTTCTGTCATCTGCTCCCACTGAGAACAGCCTCTCTCCATCCTCTTTGGAACCCTCCTTCAGAGAGCTGAAGGCTGCCACGGGGCTTCTGCCTCCTTCAGTTATTCAACATCCCTTATTATCTTCCACGTTCCGTGTGCTGCCTGAGGCTGTGTGTAATGCGCGCCATTCAAGCCCTGCTCTGAAGAGAAAATGACTCATCTACTCTAGTTCTGTGGCGCTTTCACCATAATGGCTGTGTGGGTCTCACACATTAACGAATGGGGGGCAAGTTGGTAACACCCCCGTTTTACAGCTGGGGAATTGAGTGAGGAAGGCCAAATTGATCAAAGGTTGCCCCTATTTTGGGTCTCCTCTTTGAGAGGTCTAGGGCCTGAATTTGCAGAGTAATTAGCAATTTCACATCACGCTGTGACGAGCACAGGTTGCTCCAATCGACATCAATAGCAGCGCTGAGAATGGAGCATTCCTGTCCATCTGGCGCCCGGATACCCACCCGGGGCAGACGGAAAATGAGGAACACGTCATCAGGCAGCCGCTGATCGCAAGTTTCAAGTGACTTGCCCCAGCTTCACCCAGGAACTGTGCAGCAGAGGCAGGGGGAGAGTCCAGTCCTCTAGGGAAACCAGCTGCCTTCACCACGCAGCCACCCTTTCTCTCCCTGAGTGCCCTGCCTCATTCTCTACACACCGTCCACCTTCAGCAACGAGAGAGGCAGGGCTCTGACAGACAAGAGCCTGTGTCACTATAAAACCGTAACTCGTTTCCTGTCAGCCTGCCCCTTTATCCCCAGAACTGTTGCCAGCCCCTCTTCCTGGCAGCTTTTTCCTTTTAGCTCTTTACTCTCTGACCATTTTCACTGCTACGGTTCAAGGTCCAGTTGTGTGTCTAACGCCTCAGGCCTGCGGGCTGGTGATGTAGGGATCAGACTGGTGCGAGGTCTGACACTAAGGTTGGCTCGTGGGTCAGTGCGCTTGCAGGGCTGGGCTAGGAAAGGCCGTGACAGCTGTGGCTGGACTATGGACTCTTAGAAGTTAGCAAACGAAATGACTTATTAGATCATCTAGTCTGCGCTCCTGGCTAGTGCAGGATTGTCCCTTACCCAGACCAAGTTCAAATCATTCTGGCCAGCTGGGGGTTCGATCCAAGTTTTCCAGACAGGAGTCTGCTGTCAAACTGCTCTCCCACTTGGGCAATGTGACTCAGATTTCACTAGCCAAGACCAAGCCCTCTTCCCCAAAGGATGCTATTTAATAGGAGGCAGCAGGATGTGTTGCCATGTCCTCGCATTACTTACTGGCCAGTCAGAAAAGCTTGTCTGTCGTGCCCATCAGGAGGGTGACCCAAGTTTTGAGATGGCACAGAGTTCACTAACACTTCGCACTTCTCTGCTCCCTTTCAGCTGAAGCTCTCAAAGCCCCCTGCAAACAATTAAGCCAAACCAAGACCCAGGGAGGTTAAGTGCCTGCCCCAAGATCACGCAGCAAGGCAGTGGTAGTATCTGAGTGACGGGCCCTGGTTCCCAGCACCCTGGCATGCGTAACTGACCCGTGCAGAGCAGACTCTGGAAGCAGGGGGGAGGATTATATCTTTTCAAAGGGAGCAGAAGCTGATGCCTGAGCTGACATTTCTTCCACGCCCATAACCCCTGAAAGTCGTAGATGGACTAGCAAGCAAACCTCGAGGACTTCAGTTTGTGGGGGAGCCAGGCAGCAAGCCAGAAGTTTGGCCATAGGTCAGCGTGGAAGCCAAACCCCTTCCAGAGACGTAAGAAGCTGGCAGATCTACGCTCTGGGCGGCTGGCTTTCCTGGTCCTAACAGTGCCGCACTGCATCTCCTGGAGAGATATCGCGAAGACTACACACAGCGCAGTGCCTGGCCCTCCCTGATCGGCCAGGGAGCACAAAAGGTTCCAATGCCTGATCCCACGGCGATGTCCAAAGGAAGTGTCCGTGCACACTAAGAAACAGCTGCTGCCATTCAGAGAAAGGATCTTTTCCAAGAGAGGGGATGGAAAGGGCTAGGTCTCTCTTGAAGGATGGATTCCTGCCATCAGGTGTGCAGTCAAGCCCAGCCCCATCTTAGATCCAGCAATACCTTAGAGCAGGGAATTATCTGGGAGGCTGGGGGGCACATGCACACACACACTCCTTTCTACGTGGGATTAAACTAAATCTCCTCAGCGTCGGACGCGGCAGCGTTTCTGACAGTAGCAGCAACCCACCCGGGCAGGAGACGGGCAAGGGCCGTAAAGTCCGCTGTGCATTAAGAGAGAGACAAGATTAAATGGCAGATACACCGTAATCAGGGCTAGGATTGTCCCTGCACTGCATCTGCTCCGACCTGGCCCTGATTAGCTCTAATCTAGCTGACACATGTTCATCTACAGCATGGCGCTCGGAGCCTTTCAATGGTATCTCCGGCACAGAACATCGGGGGCTATGCAAGTACAAAGATCTGCGCTGGAGAGAGACACGGACAACACACCATTCCTTGAAGGAGACGTGCCCGTTCCCGGGAGACACGGCAGGCGGGAAGACTAAGACAGGGTCTGCAGCGCAGCGCTACGCTTCAGCTCTGTGCCTGCCAGGTGAAGGCCCATAAACAAACATCATGCAGAATGCACCACCCCGCCCAGACAATAGAAGCGGGTTTCAAAGCCCTGGGGTGCAGCGGGAGCGGGGACACAGGTTGGCTCCTCTTTGTGAAGGGATTTTCTGGGACGCCAGCCCCACCCACCACTGGTCCCTTTGGAGGGGTGGGAGGGCGGGTGAGCGCGTGACGTGGCAGTCAAAGGCAGTGTGGCATGAAGCCGTTCTGTGGGCCTCCTTCAAATCCCCAGTGAAGACCCGCCACTGTTAGCTGCGCTGGGATGGACCCGAAGGCCCCGTCCTGATCAGG